AGCCTTTCTTACCTTGGCCATGTCTCTGAGTATTGCACACCTTGTGCTTTTGGGCACTCCAGTGATGTTGCAGCTCTGAAATATGGCCAAACTGGTGGCAAGTGGCATCGTGGCAGCTGCACGCTTGACTTTTCTCAGTTCATGGGCAGTTATTTTGCGCCTTGGTTTTTCCACACGCTTCTTGCGACCCTGTTGACTATTTTGAATGAAACGCTTGATTGTTCGATGATCACGCTTCAGAAGCTTTGCAATTTTAAGAGTGCTGCATCCCTCTGCAAGATATCTCACTATTTTTGACTTTTCTGAGCCTGTCAAGTCCTTCTTTTGACCCATTTTGCCAAAGGAAAGGAAGTTGCCTAATAATTATGCACACCTGATATAGGGTGTTGATGTCATTAGACCACACCCCTTCTCATTACAGAGATGCACATCACCTAATATGCTTAATTGGTAGTAGGCTTTCGAGCCTATACAGCTTGGAGTAAGACAACATGCATAAAGAGGATGATGTGGTCAAAATACTCATTTGCCTAATAATTCTGCACTCCCTGTATATGTAATAAACATTGGAGATTTAGACATACATAAATGGCCAAAATGTATGCAGCCCACCACTGCACCAAAGTACTCCAATTACGGTGGGTCCTAACTGCCTAGATATGCATGACTAAATAAACAACAATAAAACAAACACAGTACCTACCTGCAAAGAAAGGAGCAGAGGAAATGAGATCACTGCTTGCAGGAACAGACTGAAACAAAAAAGGAATAATGGCAAAGGAATGGGTTTGGCAACAAAAAATAAACATTTAAAGGAATCCAGGAGACTGTGAATTCAGGGAACAGAATAAAGGAATGAACCCAGAAAACTTAACATTAAGAAAGCCAAGAAAAACTAAAACAAGAATTGTAAATAGAGGACTGGATACCAGAAGCCACGGCCAGACATATCCGCAGAATGGAACAGAACGTGACACAGGCCTTCTCTACTTCTACTAAACAGAAGGTGTCTGTACTTCTCCTTTCCTCTTGCTCTATCACTTGTCCTCTTCATCCCATCTCACCTTATCAGATCCACCTTAATGCCGATTCTACCTTAAAAACATTGCCCCGTCCACCACTTTCATACACAAGATGCTGCTAAGGAGCTTGTTCATGAACTAGTAATTTCTTGCATTGATTACTGTAATTCTCTCCTAATTGGTCTCCCCAGAAGCTGTACTGCATTACTACAGTCTGTAATGAATGCTGTCCCAGGGAGATTTTTCTCTCCTGTCACTTTTCTCGCAACTCTGTCATTCCTTACATTGGCTTCCTGTATTCTATAGCAGTAAACTCAAAATACTAACCTTTACCTATAAAGCTCTAACCCCTTAAGGACAAAGGACGTATGAGGTACGTCCGACAAAAAACGGGTACGTTTGCAGCTAATTTGAGCGCTGGAAGTGATCCAGCCGCTCTGTGTATTGCACGATGTCGAAACAATGTGGAAACTCTCCCCCCCCCCCTCACTGCCGGGCACCCGAATGATTGCTCCCACTGGAGCGATCACTTCTGGGTTGCCGCATGTGGCACCTTGCAGTGTAGAGCAAAGCATCGGAAGCCATCAGACAGGCTTCCGATGCTCTGCCTGTACTGAGTGCCTTGGCACTCAGTTAAAATAAATAATAATAAAAAAAATTAAATGTATTAATTAAGTTTTTTTTTTTTAAATTAAGTAGGAGGGCTTAGGAGAGCTTCCCCATTTTACAAGTGCAGCATGTCTCTTCATTGAATAGTATGAGGATTGATGATAATTTAATGAAGATTTCAATACAGAATGTATTCCTTTAACGTTCCTACAACATATGTATTTGCTATGCTTTCATTTTGTATTTGTACTTAAGAATTTAGGTTTTCAGTGGTAACATTTGTTGATCAGGAATGGAACCCATGTTTATTACATTGTGTCTATGGGAAATTGGTTCTCACTTTTTGAATGAGTAAAGTTGGGAACTACCTGTATATATCTTATATATAATGTCATACTGAGTGTGTTTTTTTTAATTAATATATACATATATTAATATAAAAATACACAGAGTAAAATTCCACATGTATATATAATATATATGTTGTGGACAAAAATATTAACCCAATCCATGTTAGTAAAATGCCTATTTACTCAGCATAACTACAATTGGCATTATTCAACTTTCTATGTGATTTACCTAAAATGGCCACTAGGGATTTTCTTTTCTTTTTTTTGCAGTGCAGAAAAGTTTAACATACAGGCATGTGGTGCCCCGACGGCATTCCACGTGCTTTTGCAAATAAACAAAAATAACAGCGGGGTATCTGATATGTCTTGCACATTTTTTAGGGTATAGGGTGCGATTGCATTCAACAATAACATGGTTGTAGGTTTTCAGTAGCTTGTGGTCAACATGCTAGCTAGATATTCACGATGCTTATAACAACGTTGGTTAATATGTATTATATAGATTACATGATGGAAATTCATAACAGTAAAGGAAAAGAAACAATAACTTTGGCTCAATAATTAGTATTACTGTTAGCTTGTGAGTCACTGTGGTTCGGACCTGTGTGTGGTGAGCCTGGCACTGACCTGTATAGAGGCTTTGTGTTGAGAGTCTCTATTATCCGATGCCATCTCTTGTGAAGCAGTGGGCAGTGGTTTGGGTAGTGTCGGAGGCTGCTGCAGCGGTGGGCAGTGTGGGGACATCCTTCCAGCCCCAGGCTGTTGTGTAGGCCTGCATTTCGGTGCCACAAACTCTGCAGCTTCTGGAGGCTAAGTTTCTTCCCCTGACGGGGGCAATGGAGGGCCTGGTGGTCTTTGGCCTCTTGCGGCAGTGAAGCCTCCTTGTGTGTGGACGATCTATCCGGGACTTCGCCCTTTTGGCCTCCAACCCGGGTGGGCACTTTGGGGGTGTGTTGGGTGACTGTCGCTTTGCCCAAGGGTATGCTGTCCTCTCCCCGCCGCTGTCTGCCTCCCCTACCTGTCATCCGTGCCAGACTCTGAGCGGTTTGTGGTGCTCTCATGCGGTCTCTAAGGTTTGCCCAAAAGCGGCTGAATATTACATCCAGGCGCTGTGCAGTATCTTGGGAAATCAGCGTGTGCTGGGGTTGATTCGGCGCGGGTGGCGTGTTATCATCCGCCATCTTAGGAGTGCCTGATGGGCGCCAACACTGGTCTATCTCCACCTTGCTTCTCGGCTTGGCTGGCGGCTCCGAACACAGAGTGCGGACTGGGATGACCCCGCCGGTCCAGAGGGGTGGGGGGTAGGAGGTGAGTCGCTTGGAGGGTCTCTCTGCCGAGTCGCCCGTGAGGAGAGCGTCCATCTCTCCCCGACAGGGCCTCGAGTAGGCCTCTTGATGCTGGTGCCGGTTCCCGGTAAGCAACTGGTTAACGGCTGGTATCCATCGATTTGCACGGGTGTCCCCGGTTGTGCTGTCACCTTCCAGGTGTTTAATGTGCAGTTTTATTGGGGTTTTTGTCCCAAATCGTGCCATAATGCTCAGGAGTTCTGATTCAGCACGTCCTTGCAGCCTGGAAGCCAGGCTCCGCCCCCCGGGATTTTCTTTTTTGACATCGACTAACACCCTCATTAACAAGATGGCGCTGGAATCTGGGGGAGACCTCCAGGATACCAGTGACATCACACCCGGTAGGAAGAGTACTAAATGAACCACTTAACACCTAACCAATTATTGATGTATTATTTCATGTTATCTCTGACAATGCATATGATGTAATTTTGTATAATTTTGTATTTTTATAAGGGACATGCCGTCCCCTCAGAATAAACATTCCTCAAGTTTTTCATTAACCCGAAACTTGTGTCCATGGGCGTCCGCAGGAATTTTTCCAGGGGGGGGCATAATTGTATTGACATCCATGCTTGGTACCTTTTTGACAGTGTCATGAAAGGGAAGGGGCATAGCCATTATCACATAAAGCCAGGGTGAATAGCGTTTTCACAACTATGGTGTCAGGAATATATGTTTGTATTCCTGACACTATAGTGTTCCTTTAAGCAAATTAAAGGACCATTCTGGTCACCATAACAACTTCACCTCAATGAAAATGCTATGATGCCAGGAAGCCCCTGTGTACTCTCTTTCCTTTAAGGGGTTAAATCGCTCTTAAATGGTTTAACTCCAAAGGCTTCCTCCAGCTCCAGGTCGCTCAGTGGTATTCGGCTTCTGAAACAGAGTGTCAGGAAGTGCAGATTGATGTCAGGCATGAGTGCCGCTGATTGGCTACAGTGGACAGTTGACGCTCTAAGCCAATCGCTAGTTCCCGGTTCATAAAATATTTTTACTTTTTTATGAATGGGGAGCTACTGATTGGCTTAGAGTGCCAGCTGACCGCTCTAGCCAATCAGCAACACCCCTACCCAGCGGCACTCTGTGCTTCCTGACACTCAGTAAATAAAAGTGAACACATTAACACTGGAATCTTTTTTACCTGGGGAGATGAGAAGGTCCAGAGTTTCCCTGCCAGGCCCAGGTACCAAAGCCTTATGATGTGGTGTCCAGAATAAAGTGGAGGGTTCACTTAATTTGTCCTTCCTGCTCCAATCTCCTTTTCCTCTCCTTCATTTGACAGTCTTCTTTTTCTTCTGACACTGTTTTCTATCCTTGGCTCCTTCTGCTCCTTTACCTTTCTGCTTATTTTGCGCCCTTCTGCTCCTTGCAGACCCTTTCTGCTCCTTTTTCTACTTTACCTTTGTGCTCCTTGCAGACCCTTTCTGCTACTTCCTCTACTTTACCTTTGTGCTCCTTCTGATTCTTTCTGCTCCTTTACCTTTGTGCTCCTTCTGTCCCTTTCGGCTCCTTGCTGCCCCTTGCAGGCCCTTCCTGTTCATTCTCCTACTTTACGTTTGTGCTTCTTCTGCCCCTTCCAGCTCATTTCTGACCCTTTCTGCTCCTTGATGTCCCTTCCTGCTCATTTCTGTTCCTTCTCCTTTATGCTCCTTCTCTTACTTTACCTTCCTGCTCCTTGCTGACTTTTCATGTAGGCTGTCTCCCCCATCCCTCACTTCCATAGGCGTGCGCACGGGGTGTGTCGGGTGTGCCTTGGCACACCCTAATCCCCGCGGCACGCCAATGGATTGAGACTGTCAGGGGAGATCTCTGGATCTCCCCGGTCGGCTCATGCAGAGCCGACGCTATCCGAGCGGCGGCTCTGGTCTAAGCCTCCATGGGCCGGTGGGAAGATCAAAGATCTACCTCACCAGTCCACATCAGCATGGAGGGAGGCAGCAGAGAACCCGGGCTAGAGTTCACTCTCTGAACCACCAACGAAGGCAGCAGGATGGGGATATTAACTAATCTGCCCCCACCTCCACCTAAACATACAGCACACACAGCCCACAAACAGCACCCACACACACACACAGCACCTACACACATACAGCACCCTCGCACACACAGCACCCACACAGCACACTAGCAGCATCCTCACAAACACACAAAACCCACACACAACACTCGCACAGCACCCACAAACACACAACACCCACACACAGCACACTAACAGGACCCAAACAAACACGCACACACAAACACCCTCACACACACACAGCACACTACCAGTTCCCTCACACACAGCACTCTCACACACAGCACACTACCAGCACCCTCACAAACACACACACAAACACCCTCACCCACATAGCACACTACCAGCACCCTCACACACACACATCACACAGCAGTGTATGTATGTGTATGTATATATATATATATACATATACACGTGGCGTGTGTTTGTGCTTTAGGCTGCCCCCCAGCCTCATTCCCCTAATCTATAGGCTGCCCCCCCCCAGCCTCACTCCCCTAATCTATGGGCTGCTGCCCCCCCCAGCCTCACTCCCCTAATCGATAGGCTGCCCCCCCAGCCTCACTCCCCTAATCTATGGGCTGCTGCCCCCAGCCTCACTCCCCTAATGTCGATAGGCTGACCCCCCAGCCTCATTCCTCTAATCTATAGGCTGACCCCCCAGCCTCATTCCCCTAATCTATAGGCTGCCCCCCCCAGCCTCATTCCCCTAATCTATAGGCTGCCCCCCCAGCCTCATTCCCCTAATCTATAGGCTGCCCCCCCCAGCCTCATTCCCCTAATCTATAGGCTGCCCCCCCAGCCTCATTCCCCTAATCTATAGGCTGCCCCCCAGCCTCATTCCCCTAATCTATAGACTGCTGCTGCCCCCCTCTCAAACCCTCCCCCAATCCCTCACTTACCTGATCTGTAGGCAGTCTCTGGCTGCATGTGTTGTTCCCCTGCGGTTTCAATCAGCAGAGAGAAGCAGGGATGGATGCAGCTTTCTATCCCTGTCTCTCTCCATACACAGCGCCACCTACTGGCTGGCGCCGGTATTGCAGTTCATTTTAAATCACACGAAAAATATCAGAACAAGCTGAAAAATCCAGGGGGGGCAAGTGCCCCCCCTTGCCCCCCCCTGCGGACGCCCATGCTTGTGTCTGGTGTGAATTACTTTAGGAGCGTGCACGCATTACTTCTTTAATTTGGCTGGGGCAGATACGCAAGATAATCAATTTATTGATTGATTTCCACATCATTTGGTGCCCAACGTGGGGAACCAGATCTCGCCGGTTTGGACGGCCGGAAAACGGGACCGGAGCGGACCTCCGGAAAGTGGGCCAACCGGAGCCTGATCACCTCCTAATACAGCGTTTCGCCTGTATTCTCCTGTTTTGGGTCGGTCCGTTTCCGTGTCCACTTCTGGCTTCCAGAAGGCTACAAGACAGGTAATCTCTTATCCGGTGCCTTTTAAAACGAACCTGTCCATTGTCTATCTGCCTCCTGGGTGTATGCGTGTGAGACGGCTGGTGTGTGGTGTATGCTTTTTTTTATCATTATAGCTTGACTGCCTAGCGGGCAGGGAACGCATCCGCCTAGAGAAAGGCTGGGGATTTATGTTAGCTTGACTGCCTAGCAGGGTGGGAACGCATCCGCCTAGAGAAAGGCTGGGGATTTATTTTAGCTTGACTGCCTAGCGGGCAGGGAACGCATCCGCCTAGAGAAAGGCTCGGAATTTTGCTGTACTGTTCAGGGTAGAACAGGGTTCATTTACTGTGTAGTTATTATTATGCTCGTAATTTTACTGTTCCTTCTTATATTATGTTTCCTATTCAGTTGTAGTCATAGTGTGGGTACCCTAGTCGTGTGTGTGTGTTGTGTGGTTTGTCTTTGTTTCCGGATTATGTGCACATCTCTATATCTGTGACTCATGTAAATGTCTTCTGATTAGTCTCTCCACGTTCACCTTTTCCCTTATTCTCTACCTCTTCTGTACTTGTTGCCCAGAGCTGTGTGTCACCCACGCTCGCCCACTCAGATTCGTGGCCACCATCTCGGGTGGGCGGATCCAGTGACTAGTCTACGTTTGGGGAAGAGGCACGGGAATCAATTCCTCGTGGCAGTCGAGCACTGTAGACATTCCTTCTTTTTCCTCTCTCTTTCTCTGTCCCTCTCACAGGGGAAGCCTTGTTTGGTAAAAATGGGACAAGAACATGCCAGACCTTCTAAAGGCTATTTAGCTTGTGATATTGTTAAAGGACCACTCTAGGCACCCAGACCACTTCAGCTTAATGAAGTGGTCTGGGTGCCAGGTCCAGCTAGGGTTAACCCATTTTTTCATAAACATAGCAGTTTCAGAGAAACTGCTATGTTTATGAATGGGTTAAGCCTTCCCCTATTTCCTCTAGTGGCTGTCTCATTGACAGCCACTAGAGGCGCTTGCGTGCTTCTCACTGTGATTTTCACAGTGAGAGCACGCAGCGTCCATAGGAAAGCATTATGAATGCTTTCCTATGTGACCGGCTGAATGCGCGCGCAGCTCTTGCCGCGCGTGCGCATTCAGCCGACGGGGAGGAGAAGAGGAGGATCGGAGGAGGAGATCTCCCCGCCCAGCGCTGGAAAAAGGTAAGTTTTAACCCCTTTCCCCTTTCCAGAACCGGGGGTATGTTTTCCTGGCACTATAGTGGTCCTTTAAGGAGAGAGCAGGAGGAGAGGCTATGTTAAAGATCAAGAAGATAGCAAAGATTTGTGGTTTTCAAATGTCACCTAGTGATAGATTACAGCCAGAGTTTTGGAGGAAATTGCTCATTGATAAAGAAGGCTTGCTATTGGATAGTGGGTTGACGAAGGCTGTGGAGGCTTGGTATCGAGTAGCAAGAGGACTCAAACGGGAGGGTTGGTCAGAGGAAGAAATGGATTTTGAAGGACAAAAGATTTATGTATATCACAGAAATGTTTGTAATGAAATGTCCCCTGATGTTCCTCAGCCACCGCCCTATGATGGTGCCCAGACTACCTTGAATGAATCTCGTCCAGCCTCCCCAGTCACCGCCCAGTCGCCACCTCCAATTGTCATAAGCCCTCCTGTCCCTACCCCTCTGTACCCCATTCTCGGGGCGGATGGATCCTATTATTATCCCATCCCCCTCCCGCCTGTTTCCACACTCCCCATTATTCCGGTTCCCCTCCCACTTCCCTCTGATCCTGCCTATTCCACCTTCCGTTGTCATTATTGATGCAGTCCCTCAGTTGCCTCCCTCCATCACCTCCCCCTTCATCACCCCTCTCTCACCTCCCACTGTCATCCCTCCTATTCCCGCTCCCCTCCCACCTTTACATGTTGCCTCCCCTGACACCCCTCTAGTTCCTCTCCCTGTCATTCCCTCTACTCCTGTTCCCTTTTCGCCTTCACCCGATGTTCCCCCTGTTGCATCTCACTCTGCCGTATCCCCCCCTTCTCTTGCTATTCCCTCTACTCCTGCTCCTCCATCTCCTCTCCCCGTCACCCCTTGTGTCCCCGTTCCAGATTCCCCTCCTCATCCCACCTCCACTCCTGTTGTCCCTCCCTCGATCTCTCACCACTCATTTCCGCTCTCTCAGCTTCCCTTACTATTTCCTCTATTACTGCTCCACTCCCTGCCACCCCTAATGACCCCATTAAAGTTTCCTCTCCTCTTTTAGCCTCCAATCCTATTATCCCTCCCTCCTTAGACCTTTCGTCACTCATCTCCGCCCTCTCCGCTCATCTCCCTCAGCCCAATCAGCCCATCCCCTCACCCAGTCCGGCTCCTATTCCTTCCTCTTCCATGGCCACTCCCAGCTACCCAATCATGATCATTCGGTCTAATGAATCTATCGTGTCGGGACAGCCCCCTGCTGTAGGCGCTTCCCCTGCTGCGTCAGGCTTTCATTCCGTTACCTCCCAGTTAGTTACTCCCCAGGCCATCGCTGTCGGTACTCCCGGCTCCGATGCTCCAGCTGCTCAAGATTGCCCAGATTCGTAAGACTTACTCAGCAGCTTGGCGTGATCTGTATAGTTTGTGTGAAATCAAGGCAGGGGATGCCTATTGGCCCATTATGGTAAGGAGCTTTAATGACGCTCTGCTCACTACTGATATGGATTACCAGTCAGGTATTACATTCTGTGCACAGCTTCGGGCATGGGCCCAGGATAAACTTGCTGACCAAGCCACTTGTATTAATGATATTATACAAGACAAACTCGAAACTGTGGAAAAGTATCATTCACGGTTAACTCAAACTTTCTCTGATCTCGGATTCAGTGTATATAATAAAGCGCATACCAAGATGTTATCAGCTGCCTTTGTTGCCGGCCTTAAAGGGGCCATCAGGAAAGGCTTAGTGCCAACTGCACAGGGACAGCCCATGGCACCTAGGCCTCAGACCAGGGCATGCTTTAATTGCAACCAACCAGGCCATTTCAGGAGAGATTGCCCACATCCCAGGGTGACTAGACAGCTGACCACTAGACCCCCTATGTACCCCAATGCCCCTACGGCTACGTGTGGTGGTCTCCAATCAGGTTACCCACCACAGGTATATCCTCAGGCACATGCATCATATTACCCTCCTCAGGAATATGTCCAAGCTGTCTACCAACCCTCTCAATCTAATACTCACCCCCCCACCACGCAGCTATGCTCACCCTTCCCCTGATAGTTATGATACAGATGATTTCCAACAAGATGAACACTCAGCACCGAATCATTATCGCCCTACACATCAAACCCATCAGGCCAGCCACTCCACCACACCAGCACGTCAATATACTGGCCCTGACCAATCTCATCTAGACCTGGTACAATAGGTAACTGGCAAACCTGTGTCTAACACCCCTGTCATGGCAGTGTCTGCAGGGGAC